TCTCTCTCTCTCTCTCTCTCTCTCTCTCTCTCTCTCTCTCTCTCTCTCTCTCTCCCTCCCTCCTTAAATTTTGATTCAAAGATTTTTTCAAATTACTAAATAAAACCAGTAGTAAATATGACCAATAGTAGAGATAAAATGAGAAAAGGATTCAGTTTAGTTTTAAAGCTTAAGATTAAAGTTGATCGACTTTGTAACTTTTTTTTTTTTACATTAGCTACGAGGATTCAAAATTTTTCTGAGTACGCATCAAACTTAGTCATCGACAATAATCTTGCAGACGTAGAAAAAGCTGCTGAGGAAGCTACAGGAAGGCTTTCCTCTCGACGATACTTCGAGAGCTTTTCACCAAATAGCCGACAGCTCTTCGTGACGTCCTTACTTTTCCTCAGTCTACTCTTTTTTCTATTTATTTCTCTCCTCTTGCACCTCCTCTCGCTCTTGTTTCTTCTTTTACCTTCTTTCTATCGTTTTACTATGCATCGTTTTAACGGTATTTTGTAGGACAGAAAAGTATGAAAGAATTCACAGAAAGAACGCGCTAAAGTGCTACGATAAAAGCAAAAAATGGTTTTTTTTTTTTCCTTTTTTTTTCACCTTTGCCGCATAATATTTAAAGTTAATCTTTCGGTGTTGGTTTCAAGTGAAAGTGAATTATCGCGAGTAAAAACATAGACCGCGATCTTGTGATCTTAATATGATTCTTGAAATTTGATTATCACAATTAAGTAAAGGTGTCAACTATCAAAAAATCGAAACGTGCGTTGAGAACCGCGGGAACTCGCGCGATATGTACATGTCAGGAAACAGGAACGTAAGTTGTTTTGATTGAAACTTTTTATCTTTTTGATTGCAGCCAGCGCGGATGTGGGCTTCGCAATCTACGACAGGTATGCGGCAGAACAAATGGGTCCTCCTGTGTCGTATGTCGCCCATTTGACGGGCGCTCTGGCAGGTCTGACGATCGGTCTCTTGGTGCTAAAAAACTTTGAGCAACGGCTGCACGAGCAGTTACTCTGGTGGGTCGCCTTGGGTGTCTACGCCGCCTGCACGATTTTCGCGATCATGTACAATTTAATGCACCCGGACTATCCATGACGCGAAGTCAGCTTCGCGTACGGCCAGCCAAGGCATATGTAACGCGAAGCTGATTGGAAGTGTAGTTGGGCCTGGAAAAGAAAAAAGAAGAAAAGATGAAAGAAAGAAGATAGGATAATATTCACGCAAATATCCTTGATAACGCGCGCCAGAGACCGATAATATATCGTCTTTCTGAAGCGCCCGAAGCAAGAGATACGGATAAGAGAGAAGAACGTGAAATACGCGACGCGCGAGGTCGTCAGCCGTCGTTCTTCTTGCGAGAAGAACGTGATTTTGATCACGCTTCGCCCCCGCGTGTGTAAAGAATCGCGTAAATAGTTTTGTATTATATATTTTCTTCCAAGTCGGCCTGTTCGCGCGCGATAGTCGCCGAGGAAAGCGCGCTCGTTGAAAGAAAGCGCGAGCGAGAAAATTTAATTTATTGCTGATTAGAAAAATTTGTAAAGAGGATAAGGAAAATTTGCGAACAACAAAAAGCGATGAGATAAAGAGTATAAGAGAGTCGATCAACCAACGCGATGTACTTCCTGCCGGGAAGAAGAGACGCGAAGGAAGAAGAGAAATGTTGAGCGAATGTCTCCATGCCCATTACCTTTCGTCTTCTGGAATTGGAAGCGGGAAGAAAAGCGGTTAATCCTAACCAACTGTCTGCCTGTAATTTCGCGGAAGATTCTAAAACGCAACCGAGTTACTTTATTGCATAGGATGAGCATCCAGTTTTGCGTCCTTCTGCTAGTAACGGGAAGCGAGTGAACTTTATATTGTTACAAGATGTGTACATTCTAGAGGTCGCCTGTCGCGGTAAATATACATCCTCTCTCGCATCGTTCTTCTACAGAACGGATGGAGCAAGCACATGAGGCACGGAAGATATATTTTTGAATATTCTTCGAACTCTGAGAAAAAATAACGTCGCGTAATCGCGAGCCTAGTCGTTGCACAATAACAATTTTTCAACAATTCTGAAGAAAAACCAAAGAAAAGAAAACCAAACCGAATAAACGACGAGACTCGGCCGGCTCGTTCGAAGTGGGTGAAACACTTCGACGCGAAGACACTTCCTCGTCGAGGGACAGGATGCGACGAAGAGAGAGAAGTATACTCTCTCGTGACTTCCGTCGTTCGTTTATTCTCCGCGTAATGCCGGCCGCTGTCGTCCTTGGAAAAACCAAAGAATCGTAACCGACTGTGTAGACGACGCTCGCTGTCCTTTGTCGCATTACTGAAGAAGTTGCTTCACTCGGTGTGACGAAAAGGAAAAAAAAATAGAAACAGGGAGGAAGATTGGATACAATAGTTGAAGTAAAGCAGTAGGAAAACGCAAGAACGAAAAGAAGAATTAATTCAGGAGACCTAATGGATCCTTCGCGGTCATCGGAACATTGTATGAATGACCGCTGCGGAGTAGCATGGAGACGACGACGATAAAACAAAAATACCCGCGATAAAATCGAGAGAAAATTGGCAACCATCTCAACGCCCCCTCTCGAAATGATTCGATTCGCGAGATGAATTCGTGAACGTGGACGGAAACGCAAAGGAGCTAAGAACGCGCAGGATTCGACGATGAAGAGTCCGGCGCGTTGATGATGAGATAAAAACCATTTCTGAACCACAGACAAATAATTTAGCTTCCGAAACACAATAGACATCAATATTCTACAGGAGAAGAAACACTTACACATTGTTTGTGTATTGCTCTCGTTAACGCAAAAACAATCTAATCGAAAAGAAAGAAACAGATTTGTCTCTCACTGTTTCGAGCATATACGTACGATATTATCGCGATCAATTGTTACATAGAATTGCAATTTTTTTCACGAGTTCATAGAACCACACACCACTCATCTAAATAGCCATTGCATTTTTGCCACGTTTATCGTTGTCAAATTTCTCAAGGAACCGACGCAACGACGAGTTCCTCGCAAAAAGTTAAAATATAGTTAAAAAAAAAAAAAAAAAAAAAAAAAAAAAAAAAACTTCTACCTCCGTGAAACTCTCTTGCGAAATCAAAACCGCCTCGGCACGCAATGTCGTCGAAGCGACTAATACTGTATTTTCATATCTAAAGAAGTACTATTTAATAACGTAGAAACAATATTTCCGAATGAACATTCGAACTAATTATTGTACATATAAATTAGATAATGTCTATACGCTTCGAAACGTTTCGACACGCGTTGCCTGTTCGCGCGATGGTGATTTTTGCGAGAGTTTACGAACTTTCCACTTTGATGGATGTAGTAACGCGTAGTACAACGGTGATTTATGACAAAAACCACACACCAACAGCCCAGGTTGATCTGTCGCGGTTAGTTTTTCGGTCACAATCTGCGCTTTCAACGACAAACGGCCGCTCGTTTCACGTCCTCGTAGAATCTCCCCGATAGCGCGATCATAAAAAACGAGCATTTAATTGTGTATACTGTTGTAAATAATATGTATATAAAAAACTCGCTGTATATGTAATTTTGCATGTATGTGAGTGTCTTTTTTTTTTTTTTTTTTTTTTTGCGCGAGTGGAGAAGACAAATGAGGAGAAGGCGCGAGACTGAGCAAAGAAGAAAAGGAAATAAAAAGTAGAAGGTTAGAAGAAGAAGAATTCGAATCGGGTCACACACTCTAGTCGTTTCGCGTCGTTATCGTATAAGTGTGTGTATATAAGTGCACTATACACAATACAAGAATTATATATATATATATATATATATATATATGTATGTATGTATGTATGTATATATATATATACATATATATATTGTATTTAAATAATATGAAAAAGAAGAGAGGAGAGCCGCACATTCTTGGGAGAGCACGCTTAGTGTACATAGTCACACACGCAACGTATGTTCCTTGTCTATTTAATTTATCATCATTTATCGTGTCATTATGTCTCCTGAATGGAATCGAGCGATTGCGGATCACCGGCACTGTGACGACCCAAACGATAATTGTACCGTCAATAGTTCGTATATCTTCAAGACATATATTTAAACATTTTCGTCTCTCGGCTTGTTCTACGACGCATCCGCAGACGGATATATACAATACATATGTTCACCTCGTATCTATAAATTATAAACATGGTTGTTTGACTTTCATGGAGAACATTTGTTCGATCTTCCGTGCAGTGTTGATTAATTACACACATTACATACGTTACATTAATTACGCATATTACTTATTAAGTTGATTAAAATTAATTTCAAGCAGTTTTGAATACGTAACAATGTTACTGATAAAAGAGATCATTCTTTTTTTTTTTTTTTTTTTTTTGTTTAACGTCTAATGAGAATAACATACACGTAGAATACATAGACTGCGTGTTTGGCTGAAAAGTTGTTCTTCAAATTGAAATAGACAACATGTTTTTTGAACTGTAACTCTCTCTCTATCTGTAATGAGGTAATGGTTGAAGTAGTAGTTGGGCAAAAATTCGATATGGCTATTGGGCCGTAGCGCTTAATTCGCCATCACTCTTAATCTCCTTCATTTTTTTCATTCCCACACTTTTCCATTATTATTCTATCAATCAACGAAAACTTCTTTTTTCGCCACTACTTTACTAGACAAAGATGAGGCTACAGTTCAACACTAGCTCTCTTCCTACATTGAAGACATTTTTCTTAACTTGGCAAAGGTTAGAGAACGCGCAGTCTATGTTATTCTACGTCTATATGGAGAATACACAGTTTATGTAAAAAATTGTAAAACAATCGATTGTATCGTCAAGTAGATTGTAAGTACCGAAAAATTTTTCTGTACTTCTCTCAAAATGTGTAAAAGTCAAACTTCTCTCAACGGTTTTTATTTAGCCGTGAGAATGTACGGTGACTGATGATAGAGTTCAACAAAATCTGGAAACTCCGCGCGGCGTTAAACCAAGTTGCGAATACGAGCCAAAGTCTGTACAATACAGTTTGGGTGATTGAGATACGTGTCTCTCTAGTGTTTTTAGCTGTATGTACATAAGAAAATATGTTCGATCGTCGAAATAGCTCATCGGCGCCTCGGCTATTTTGTATGACTTAGCGCCTTTCGTTTCCTCCGAGTCGTCTATCGTTTATTTAATGTCATTCGCGTGACATAAATTCCAGTTATAATGTAAAAAACGTAAGCGCTTCTTCGTGTTTCTTCGACCGCACCTCTCGCGATAAAACGGTGGGGAAGAAATTAAGAAAAAAAAAAAAAACGCGTCGGTCGTTACATACATGCACGCCTTCTTGAGTAACTATTCATTAGAGATTACTGTCGTATATTCCTCTGTGTAGAGTAACGGCGTGCGAAGTTTTTCGTTTAGTTGAAAACTCCGCGTCGCGGCGCGCGGAGCTGTGTGCGTGGAAAATTCGTTTTTTTTTTGTTTTTTTCCGACACTTCTGAATCGTTTCCTCGGCTCTTGAGAAATCTACCTTACGCGAGTGACGCCACGAGAATTAAAATAATTCACGAAAACGTCGACAACTGAAAATTATTTTCCGTTTACGCGCGACGCAGCGCAACGCGACACTTGGATGTTCTGTATCGAATCTTCTTTGTTTAGTCGCACGAGAACTGACCATTAATATCGTTATTTGTGTTGCGCATAGTCACACACAGAGATACATGTATTAATAACGTTAATACATGATATCAAATAAAATACAAGATTTTGTTTCAAACTGTAATATATTATTATTGATATTACTAATGTTATTGCAGTTTCCTTATTATATCAAAAAAGAAAGTAATTTTCAGTACTGACGTGGCACGGTCCGTAGGAACAGAGTAATTTGCGAAAGAGAGAGAGAGAGAAGAAGGAAGAAAAGCACCGAGAGGACGCGAATCGAGCGCAAGCAAGAGATCAAACGAGAGTAATTAACGATGCTAGTCAATTAGTACCCGCGAAGGCAGCTAACGCCAGATCGTAGCTTAAGGTAACTGTGTAAAACTCGCTTTAAGGCAGCGAAAGAAGGTCGAGATCCCGGTGACGCTGATGAGACAGGGTGGTGAAAATAAGAGAGAAAGAGAGAGAGAAAGAGAGCGGGAAAAGGAGAAGGCGGAGAAGAGAGATCTTAGGTGGTTTAAGGGTTCGAGAACAACGAGAGTGCGCGAGAAGAGGACGCTGAAGAGCATCCAAAAGGTGGTTGCTCAAAGAGTCGAGGAGACGAAGGAGAAGCTTCGACGGCTGGGCTGGCTCTGTCGTACGGCAAGTGTGTACTTGACGCAAACGCGAAAGAATGCAAAAAAAAAAGGAGAAAAAAAGTGACGTTCCTAATAGCGGTTATACAACCGCTATTAGGAACTGCTTCAGACTCGCGCGACAATTGTGCTCGAAAATATGAGCGCGTTTGTGTTGGGGCAACGATATTTCTATTTGTGTACACGCATATACAGTTGGATGCTTACACATTCGTTTTGCTCGTTTGTTTCGATTTTTCACGAACCTTGTGACGCCCTCGTAATACGCGCGCGAATATACGACAAGTATAAAAAGAACGAGATTTAACTTAGATAAGAAATTAATTCGAAGTTTGTAAATTGTGTTTTTTTTTTTTGTCGTGCGTTATAACATACAGAGAAATAATTGACCGGATTAGCTCGTCAAGCAAATTACGCGGAGTAAATTAATATAAACGTGTCAATATGTAAACAAATTGTTTCTGAAATATAAATTATAAAACGTTGGTGTAATGTAATCGCGAATTATATTAAATTTATATCGGACGTGACATTGTGTGTCGCTACGTATGCCTCGTTAAACGTTTATAATTCGATTTGCTTCATAAATGCACGACACACGGCAACGATATGAATTCTTTTGAAGTGGCTCGAGCTTTTCACGTTCAACGATCGATCGATTCCATCACGTTCTCCATTAATTACCGTCGTTGTTAATAATAATTTATGCGTCGATGAAATCCGAGCCAAAAAGAGAGGCCGGTTCTTTCTCGAGGAAAATCGAACAGGTGTCGATCCGCCGGGTTATTAACATACATCGCCGGGGAAATGTGCATAATTTAGAGATTTCATACACCATTTATGATGTATGATTTCTATTTTATTAATCCCCCGGTCGAATCAAAAACGATGCCAAAGAGCGCGCGCGCGTTGCATAATTATTTACATACGTGTATACGTTAAACTTCGAATATGCGAATAAATTATCGTCGCTCGAAATCCCTCGCGTAAACGACCAGAAAATACGGCACATAAATACAGAAATGATGTTCCGTCAATTATACACCTAATGGCGTATGTAAAATTAAAATCGCACAGAGTGGAACGCGCATGGTGATGCGCTCGTCGTCGCTTCTCTGTTACACGACAGATCCAACGCGTATTACCATCAAATTTACACACACATTGCCGGCGGAAAAAATTCTCACGGTTTTTCAACGTCCAAACATAATTTCGGGCTTGCTCGTTCTCCTTTTTCCGCTCTCTCATCACGAATGAACTTTAACATCGAAGTCTTGTTGCGGAGAATCGAATTTTCTTATCATCATGTTATCTCTCTCGCCCTATTTTTTAAACGTTGGTATAAATTTTCTCTCTGTATGCGTAAAGAGAGAAACAACATCGGGGAAACGATATCTTATTGCGAAACTAATCCGGACTTTAATTTACGCACCTCTGGTCCGCTCAATTCTTGTAATTTTTTTTCTTGTTTTTTTTTTTTCTTATATTTAAAATTATCTGTTTTCTCCGAGTTGAGAGTATGTGTCAGGATTACGTATGTATGTATTTATGTATGTATATATATGTGTGTGTATATATGTATATATGTATATATATATACATTTATATGTATATATATATACATTTAAATGTATATATATATATATATATACATTTAACAAAACG